AAATGGTTCTGGAAGTGAGAAAAATAAATGGCTTCTTAGATCTAGATGTAAGGAATAAGAAGAGGGATACCTAAGTTACTAAGTAGAGGAACTTTGTAATTGTGAAAGTGATCTCTCTAAAAAGACAGGTAGGGAGGAACAAAGTGAGTGTGAGATAAGATTTGTTAATTCAGTAAACAAATGTTTATTAAGTACTTTACTATGGTGTCAGCCTCTGTTACAAGCAAGAAGTATATTAGTATTAGTTAACAGTACAGTCAAATGCTCTTTTTTTATGGAACTTGTGTTTGAGTAGGGGAAAATATAGTGAGTTTGAGATGTCAATGAGATTTAAGTGGAGGTGTCCCTTAGGCATTTTGGAAATATTTGGACTGAAACTTAGAAGGAGATCTGTGCCAGAGGTAAAGATTTAAAATTCATTAACGGAAACAATCATTTGAGTTTTGTTGTTGTTGTTGTTGTTATTTTGTTTTTTGAATTGTTAGAAGTCTATGTACCACATTAGATACTCTGTGTTCTTTTGCAAAGGAGAGCAGTGTGTGTGTGTGTGTGTGTTCGTAATTATTTATAGCGTTAAATTCTGAATAATTCTGTACTGTTCAAAATTTGAAATACTTCTTCTTCACTTTTAGACTTCTCTTTCCATGTTCAGTAAGAGTGAATTTTCAGTTAAAAGAAGATTCAGTGATTTTCTTGGTTTGCACAGCAAATTAGCAAGCAAGTATTTACACGTTGGTTATATTGTACCACCTGCCCCGGAGAAGAGTATAGTAGGTAAGCATGAGTAAGCAAAAAAAAAAAAAAAAATTCCTTTTAACTGTATACATTTATGCATTCCAGAATCATTCATTACCACCATCTCAGTTGTAGAGATAATGGTAATTTAAATGTTCTATTATGATAATTGTGCATTTATTATATAAGAATATAATATTATTATATAAGAATTATTCTTATTATATAAGAATTATTTTTATTATATAAGAATATATAGCTAGTAGTTTTATTTTCTAACGCCTACGGGTTCAGGTTTTGAATATTGGGTTAAAATTTACCAAGTTGAAAGCAGTTACAAACTATAACCTTTTAGGGGAAGTAGAATACCATTTTACTGAGTCACACTCAGAATACTTAATGTTATTAATATATTAACAATTTTCAAAGAGTTGGAGGTATTTGGATCTTAGCTTTATATTGTCCAAAAAGAACATTTGAGTTAGCCTTGCTTATATAAAAACTATTTAAACTTATCTTAGTTTATGTTATACCTCAATTTAATATTTAAAAACTATTCTACTTATACCAGTAATATTTAGTTAAGAAAATGCAGAAAATTTAAAAAGAAGAGGAAAACCTCCATTTCTTAAAATTTTTTAGTATTGGACTGGGGTTGTGGCTCAGTGGTGCAGTGCTTGTATAATATGTGTGAGACTCTGGGTTTGATTCTCAGCACTGCATATAAATAAATAAAATAAAGGTCCATTGACAATTAAAAAAATATTAAAAGAATATTTTTTAAGTATTATCCAGTCTTTTTTCAGTCCTTGTTTTTTTTCTTACTTCAACTTTTCTTTATACCTGAGATGATTACTCTGAAAAATATTTGAAATGAATTTTACTGATTTTTAAATTATTGGTTTTTACTTTTTTAAACATTTGATTTGAAAAGCATGTTTTTTTAAAAAAAGGTTATTACTATTTTTTAGTTGTAGATGGACACATCTTTATTTTTATTTGTTTATTTTTATGTGGTGCTGGGGACCGAACCCGGGACCTCATGCATGCGAGGCAAGCACTCTGCCTCTGAGCCACAGCCCCAGCCCTGAAAGCAGTTTTATTGATATCATTCATTTGAAACCTGATGAGTTTGTAATATATTTTCTCTCTCTTAAAATTCGTAAACCTAGTTGAGTAGTTCTTCAACTTTTTGGTCTCAAGAACCCTTTATTTCCTTTTTCTTTCTTTCTTGCTTGTTTGCTTGCTTTCTTTCCTTTCTCTTCTCTTCTTTTCTCTTCCTTTCTCTCTTCAGTGCTGGGGATTGAACCCAGGGCCTTGTGTATATTAAGCAAGCACTTTATTACTGAGCTGCATTCCTAGGGCCCTACATTCTTAAAATTTATTAAAGAGTCTTAAGAGAGTGTTTGCTTATGTGGGCTACATCTGTTGACACTTACTGTATTTGAAAAAATTATTTAATCTTATTTATTTAAAAGTAATAAACTTACTTTATGTTACACAAAATTCGTGAAAGAAATTTTATGACAAAAACATTTAATAAGACGAAAAATTTAAAAACTTTTTGTAAATTCTAATTTCTACCTTAATAGAAAAATAGCTTTGTTCTTCTGTGCTTCTATACTCATTTATTGTGATATAACACATTAGCTAACCTTTATAAAATTCCATTCTGGACACTCATTAAAGAACAACAAAAGACAAGCAGTTTAATATTATTGTAGGGACTTTGTAGTCTCTAAAACCCTCCAGATATTCTGAACTAAGGAACTTAGGAAACTAAGATTAATCAAGGTTATCCTACATGCCAAAAGTCATATAACATGGCAGAGCTGAATTTTCTTCTTATTTTTCAACTTATACTCTTAACCACAATTCTATTTTGCCTCCTACTTTCAATTTGATTATTTCAATAGGATAATGATTTGGTTATTTCTTGCTTTTTAATTTTTTAATTTTGTTTTTGTTCTTTACCTAAAAAAGAAAACTTTTATGTATTATTTTGTTTGTGGCAAGAGATTGAACCCAGGACCTTGTACATGCTAGGCATGCACTCTACCACTAAGCAATATTCCTAGCCCCATCTTTCTGTTTTTTAAATATAACTTTTTTTTTCCCCCCCCGTGGTGCTGGGGATTAAACCCAGGACCTTGAGCAAGCACTCTATCAACTGAGCTATATAACTTTTAATGCTATATTATTGTAGAATTGTCTAAAAGACATTTAAAGTAGATTTAAATTGCTTAAAAATTATTTGTATACTACTTCATTCAAGAAAAGGATTGAAGCAACTACATGTAATAGTGAAAATGTATATCAATAAAGAAATTAGCAGGGAAAATATAGTCAAGAAATGTAGGATGAATCCAAGTAAAACAATTTTTTCCTAAAATCTTGAACAGTTCATTAAAGATAGGTGACAAATTAATCTTTGAACTTTCTGGCAGCCAGCCAGCACAGTATATAGTCATTTTATAAATGTCTTGTTATTTATTAACTTTTAAATAAAAATGAATATATTGTCTAAGAAAAATTAAAAGACGGTTTTAATTACATAAACAGTGTTTTTCAAGTATTAAATAGTGGAATAAGAGTGGTTACTTTTTGCTAAGTCATTGCACATAACCATTGCCACTTAATAGGACCTCATTTGACTAAAAAATACTATTCTATATAAACTATTAGAAAAACAAGTTGAAAATTTTAAGAGTGAACCAATTAAGATAAATTGTTGTTTTATTTTCCCACAATGTGCCATAATGGTTGCCTTTAGGGATGAGTGGATAAATGAAGAAAAAAAGAAGCAAAGAATTACATAGTTGTGGGATTTTTTTTATGAGTAAATAAAATATCTGAAATAATTAACATCCCATATGCAGTAGACAAGGTCCATAATTTCAGTTGTCTGAGTTTTCTTTTTCAAACCTTTATATTTTAATGAGATTTTTAGAAACAAAATATTAATGGTGGTATATGTTAATTATTCACCAAATATATCAACCTGAATAAGAATTGCATAGTTTTTTATAATGTTTTTAAAGATGCTAATGTACTGTCCTTCTCTGCGGATTTGCCTGTTCAGGATTTTTTATATAAAGGGAATCATGCAATATATGGTTCTTGGTGATGGGCTTCATCTATTTACTATTGTTTTTTCATGATTCTTCCATGTTACAGCTTGTATCATTACTTCATTTCTTCAGAAAACATGTTTGAAAGGAAAAAGAATGGTGGGGGATCTGCAGCCTAATATATTAACATTAAAGTTGACAATATAGAAATAATTAACATTTTTGGTTTTTTTGTTTTCTTTTGGTGCTGGGAATTGAACCCAGCCTCCACATGCTAAGTACATGCTCTGCCAGTTAGCTACACCCCAAGACCAATTAACCTGATTTTTATTTTCAAAATTTGATGTGTTCTAAATGTCTCTGTGAATGTGCTTATTCTTTCAACTGTTAGGAAACCTGTTATGTGCTGGTTGTGATGGCATATGCCTATAGTCCCAGCTATTTGAGAGGCTAAGGTAGGAGAATCACTTGAGCTTTAGGAGTCCAAGGTCAGCCTGAGCAATATCAGTGAGACCCTGCCTAAAAACAAAGTTTTGATAAATAAACAAGAACATGCTCTTTGAATCTGAATCAGGAGAAAATTTAGTAAATTCATGGGTTATGTTTATCTTTATTTACGTCATCCTGAAAGTAAGAGCCTTATTTATTGCTCATAATTAACTGCCTTAAAGATTCCATAATGCACATTATAATGTAAAAACTTTCGAATTTACCAGGAGTGTAAAATATTGCAGATAAAGAATTTTTTGAAGTAAGTTTTTGTATAAATAATCAGTACGGGTCAAGAAACTACAAATAGCTCATTTTCTGTTTTATCTGTTCTCTCGTGTCCTAATTATTTATTTACCAAGTAGAAATGTTAGCATATCATGAGATTTAATTTTTCAAAATGTTTTGCTTTTTAAGTAACATAGCAGTTACCAACTTAGAAGCTTTTTTTGTTAAGTTCAAATTCAAAGTATATTTTAAATTGTGAATAAATGGTCATAAAAGACTTTTTCACAATAAAATCATCTCAACTCTCAACTTCTTCAAAGGTATGACCAAGGTTAAAGTAGGTAAAGAAGATTCATCATCTACAGAGTTCGTAGAAAAACGGAGAGCAGCTCTTGAAAGGTAATTCTAGATAGTAATACTTTATTACTCTCATAAGTCTAATTTATTACTTATGATACAATAATATATTTGTTGTGATTCTATTAATCCTCATGAATAGTCTAACAAAATAACATCTGTTTTGCTTCATATGCTATAAGCAGGAATATAAATATATGAATTAAATGAGGATAGAATTAGCCCCTCTCTGTCTTCTCTGCACTGGGAGCAGCTTTCTTGCCACGGCCCCTCACCCCCTGAAAATGTATGCCTGCTCCAGGTTCCTCTCCACCCACTCCTTGGTCAGGAGCACCTCTCATCTGCTGAGCCGACCACTGTCTGCAATGGTTCTGAACCAACCAGATACACTGACATATGAGAGCTTCAGCAGCTTGGCAGTCCTTTGTCCCCTGACCTCACTTATCCCTCACCGCCGCTTCCAAACCAGCACCATTTCAAGGGACATTGACACAGCAGCCAAGTTCATTGGGGCTGGGGCTTCCACAGTTGGGGTGGCTGGCTCTGGGGCTGGGATTGGGACTGTATTTGGAAGCCTTATCATTGGTTATGCCAGGAACCCTTCTCTGAAGCAACAGCTCTTCTCCTACGCCATTCTGGGCTTTGCCCTCTCAGAGGCCATGGGGCTCTTTTGTCTGATGGTGGCCTTTCTCATCCTCTTCGCCATGTGAAGGAGCAGTCTCCTCCTCGAATTCTTTCTCCCATGTCTTGTCTGCCCTGTATGTCCCTTTTCCTATACTACCTCAGGCAATATGGGGAAAGTGGTTGGCTCAGGGTTTGACAGAGGGAAGACAAATAAATACTGTATTAATAAGAAAAAAAAAGGATAGAATTATATCATAGATGTAGATACCAAGGCACTAAGAAACTTCTAGACTTTTAAAGGAAAACATGGTAGTTGTGATTGGGGATAAAGAGTTGATAAAATGTTTGGATAGGGCTGAGGATGTAACTCAGTAATAGAGTTCTTGCCTAGCATGGGTGAGGCCCTGGTTTAAATCCACAACACTACAGGAAAAAAAAAAAATGTTTGGGTAAAAATAATCCCACTTTGGTATTTAGATTCTTAGGAAGTTATACCATATATGGAATGAACATTATTCAGAACAATGAAAATTGCAATGTGTTCCCCTTACTTTTGTGTATTTTTTTCCTTCCATGCTATGCTAAAAATGAGAAAACAAATTTGAAACTATCCTTGACTTTTCAGAACCTATCATGGTAATTACTTCCCTTTTAGCTTAAAATCAGTATTGGGGTAGGTAGGACAGGCTTTAAGGATACACACACATACACCACAACCCCCACCCCCCACCCCAGGGTACAAATTATTTTTTTAAACTATTTTCAAGGCAACTTATTTCTGGTGTTTAGTAATAAATTGTTCACATTTTTAAAAAATGCCACAGAAAAGTCAGGTTTAAACAGCATGCAGTAAGAAAAACTAAAGAATATGCAATTTTAAAATCTTATGCTAGAGAATACTAGAAAGTAGAATTGTATTTATGAAATCAGCAATTCCCCTGAAAATTGAAATTGCATAAGTTTAGGTTGGCCATTAGAATTGATTGTATTGTAGGTAGGGGATACAGACAGAATATTTTTAAGAATAAAGGTACATAATGTTCTGCCTTGATTTCACTTAGTCCTTCCTGAAAGTGTAACCATGACCCTTTGAGAAACCTTTCAGGTCTTATTTTTCTATGAGTAAATTTGAAATATTTCAGATGGCATGCTTGATAAGAAACTTAATGAAGATTTATTGTACCAAGGACATATAATTTATTTCTACATTCTACTTTCTTCTAACTTGATGGCATTATATAGTACTTAGCATACCTCTATGTAGTATAAAACATTCCATGTATATACTCCATGTAGTATAAAACACTTAGTATAACATATAAGGAAAAGTTGTTCCTCTAGAAAAAAATGACTACAGAAAATATAAGCATAAACATACAGAAGCAAAGGAATTCATTTCTTTAGCTTTACCCTAATCCCATTTCTTCTGTCATAACCAGTTTTATTCACTTCTTGAACACAGCGTTATAATGTGTACAAGATTTTAAAACTGCATTTTTTTACCCTTTTATATATCTGACTTATAAAAGTGATTTTCATGTGACATTTAAAATTTTTTAAACATTAGAGCAGGCCTCTAGTAATCAGGGAAGTATTTTTTTGTGTTTCACTTTATTTATTTAATTTAGAGAATCCAGATGACTATTTTTAATGAAAAAGTAAACATCTGGTATTACAAGTTAGGAAGAGTGAAATAGCCAAGTACCACTCTATGCCATATTCAATAAAGTAAGCAGAGACTATTTTATTAAAAGTATACCTAAGATAGCTTGCTTGATTTTCTTAAGAGTACTTTGTACCTTATCTTAACATATAGTGAATTTATTTTTAGGTAAGAATACACTTTGGCAAATATATGCTTAGAAATTTGGAGGAGCATAATAATAGCATACAAGATTTATAATTCATTTTGTAATTCAAGTCTATACTGTCCTACACTCTGTGATCTTGGGCAAGTTACTTAAATATAACCTTTCTTAACTTTAAAGTGTAAATGAATCAGAATTGTGTTTGTCTCAAGAACCTAAAAACTCAATTGGCAAGGTCTAAGAAGTTAGTATAGATTAATTAATCCACTCTTTCATATTAAGAAATTTGGAGATAGGAAGCTGTTCAGAATTATCTAATTCATCAGGGAATGCTAGTTCTTCTATCTGATATCTGGAACATAACCATTTCTCATCAGTCTAGTGACTGCTGGTCCAAAGGTCTTAATTAAATACAGTAGTTTCCTAATTGGTCTCGTCACTTTCATCTTTGGCAGTTCTACTTTTTTTTTCTTTTCTTTTTTTTTCAAATATAGCAGCTAGCATAATCCTTTAACAACATAAATCAGATCATATTAATATCTGATTTCAATCAATATAAGTCAAAGTCCTTATAACAGACTCCCAAGTTTTCCTGACCTGTATTTCCCACTCTGTTATCTATTTGAGCTCATATTTTCCTTGATCACTCACTATGCTCTGGGCCACACTGATCTTTTTGCACTCCAGGGATTTTCCTACTTCAAGTCTTTGTACTCACTCTGCCTAGAATGCTTTTGTTCTTTAGGCATCTGCATGCTGACTCCCATCCCTTCTTCAGTTGTAAATGTCTCCTTGAAGTCTGTTCTGATCTTCAGCTTCATTCTGACCTATTTAAATTGCAACCACCATGTCTTACACCTTTGGTTCTGTGTACCCTGTTTTACCCTTTCTTTTTTATAGCACTTGCTACCTTTTCAAATCCTACATAATTTATGTTTGTTATATTTATAGTTTGTCTTTTTCTAAACTCTTAAGCTCCACTGGGGAAAACATCTCAGTGTGTCTTGTTGAATGATGTATTGCAGGTACCCAGAACAATACCTAACATATAGTAAGTGCTCTGTAAATATTTGTCGAATGAACAAATGAATGTCATTCAAGACCCAAACTCTTTCTGCCTTTCTATTTTCATCATTAGCACTTCTCTTCTTCTTTTTTTTTTTTTTCTTTTCTTTTCATTCTGTTTTTTGGTTTTGGTTTTGGGGAGGGGAATGCTAGGGATTGAACTCAAGGCTTCTCTTCATCCTTTTTTTATATTTTTATATTTATAGCTTTCTCTGATATTATTTCTGAATTGGTGTATATGTATGAATGCTCATTGTTTTAAAATCCAGTTTACACTTCTGTTCTCAATTATAACATGATATAAGCTATACATATATTTTTAGTTAGTTGCTCTTTCCTTAAAAAAGAAGGAAAAAATTTACTGTTATTTTCTAGAATATAATTTTCCAAAACTGATTCCTCAGAAAGCTAATAAGTGGTAGGATGAAAAATGGGATCTATAGTCAATAGAGTTTTATTAACACAGGATTTAACAGTTATACCAGGTTTATTTCCTATTGGACTTATAGCACCAACTTGATACCAGTCAATATGAATCTTAAAGAAAGGTGTATGTATGTATTATATTTCAAACATTTTTAGAATTAATCTTTTTGATGGAGTATTTCATGGGACTAGTAATCACTTTGGAAAACTGTTTCAGAATATAGGTAGTATTAGATATTTTCATTTAGGGTGAAATGTTGAAGTGTTCTTAAAGATTAATTATCAGATGTTTTGTCTTCCTTTCTGCTTGTTCATTTTACAAATATGTTATTGCCTGTTATTTGCCAGCACTAAACTGAACAACTTATGCAAACTGCCTTTAGGTAATACATAGTACAAACAATTACAATAATTTCTTTAATAGAGTTGGGGGAATTTTATTATTAAAATTATAAATCAAATTCTAGTGGGATTATACCAACTTATTTTAAACTTTAAAGTTAATGTTCTCACTGCATTTTTCTTTTGGCTCTATTATATAAGCAATAAAACTTTTTAAACCACATATCTACTAAATGATCTGTTTCTAGCATAATAACTTCTTCTGTGAACTACTAATTTATAATGAAGCTTAATATAGTATATGATTTACATAAATGTGTAAAGACAGATTAACATTTAAACATTGATAAAATAGTTACGATTATTGTATAGAGTTTGGCTGTGGAGAAAGAGACTAAACAAGAATTATAGGTATGTGTTACTGCACCCAGAGCTAACAGTGATTTTGATAATAATGTTTCTCTATTGCTTTTTCACTTCTAATTTATATATCATATTTACAGAAGTATCAAAAACTTAAAAATACAATTATTGAAGAAACTTTAGTTGTGTGCCAGAGTTGATTGTGTAATTTAAATCTGTTAACAAGCAAAACATTGGTAGAATGTTTTGAATTTTGGTAATGATAGCAATTACTCTTGTTAAGTTTTAAAAAAAATGTGTGTGTGTCTCATATATGTAAAATATAGAAATATGTATCTTAGGACTCTAAAATTGTAACTGGAAACAATATTAACTATATCTAAATATGAAATTATTAAACTCATATAACCCTTTAAATTCTAATACTTTATAGTAAGAAGTTTGATAAATGATTTAACCACTTCCCACTTTTATCCTTACCCTCTGCCATTTCTTACTTAATTATGAAAAAGGTATTATATCAATTTTTAAAAGATTAACAAAAAGCTTTTTAATTAGTAGAATGTTATAAAATTCTAATTAATTATAGTGAGAGTAGACTAATAAGGGGCAGACTGAGGACACCTTTTTACTGCATTTAAAAATTTTTATTTTGTTGAAATACAATTTAAAATACTAATAAAGGGAGAAATTTTATTCTTAAATCTAGGTATCTTCAAAGAACAGTAAAACATCCAACTTTACTACAGGATCCTGATTTAAGGCAGTTCTTGGAAAGTTCAGAGGTATTTTTTTCTACTTTAAATTTTTGTATATGAAGTTTCTCATTTGTATTTATCATTATAATTTATATAATAATAATCAGTATATAATTGGATTAATAGATGAAATAAGGCAGTGGGTTTTTTTCACCTAATGAATTAATTACTTAACTAAATTACTAGCAAAATAGTTTCTTTAAAGTTGATATTTATAGGATGATCAGTCCCTTTCTTGAAAATTTAAAACCAAGTTGAACAAAATGATTTATAAACTAACTTCAAATGCCCTAAGTTGTTAGTTAGGTATCTTGTTGAAATAAATTTATTCAGACTTCATTTTTAGACAAAGTTGAATATGTGTCTGCATTCTAATATCTTTATTAAGGTTTCAAAATGCAAATATGTAGTTTGAAAAAGCCTGAACTATAACCATGCTACTCTTTATATTTTGAGATGTTTGGTACATTTTGGGCTTTTAATAACAGTTAAGAATTCTAATTGTTAGTGCTTGAGGTTTTTTTTTTAAGGAATTGTCTCAGAATTTTTTAAAAACTCAAAACCACATGATCCTAACTGAACATAAGGAGATTTTTCTCAAGACTTTCTTCTTTTCTTATAAACAGTTTATTTCTGCTAGCAAACAGGTGGCCAGTGTTAGGATACTTGGCAATTTCTTAATATATTTTGACAAATGGTGTTTGTTCCATCTAAATGTAAACGTACAGAAGAAAAGCAAATGGAAAGTCTATTTTTTAAGTTTTCCTTTGAGAATGTACAAGTAGTGTATTTGAGAAATTAGATCTCACTATTTAAATGTATGAGAGTGAAGAAAATACAGCCTCTTTTTTTTCTTTTCTTTTTTATTTTAGGAAGGGAGGGATCCCTTTTGTGCCCAGTTAAACCTCTAGGCTTTTAACCGGTTTGTTTGCCCTTATTTGTCATTCAATTCCAGCTGCCTAGAGCAGTTAATACTCAGGCTCTGAGTGGAGCAGGAATATTGAGGATGGTGAACAAGGCTGCCGACGCTGTCAACAAAATGACAATCAAGATGAATGAATCGGATGCAGTAAGAGCTGATTTTTCGACTTGAATAATGAGATGAATTAATGAGCCCAACAATTGCATTTTAAAGCTGTACAAGTAGAAAATAGGATATTAATTTGTTTATTGAGTTTAGTTCTCAGCCACATCAGATGACCACCATGGTTATACATGGTTAATTTGTTGCTTTAAAACAAGGAATGTAGCTTGGTATTGGTAACCTAATTTACAGTGGTTTGTTCTTCCTAAATTAACCCCATTTTTCATTTTTTTTCTTAGTGGTTTGAAGAAAAGCAACAGCAATTTGAGAATCTAGACCAGCAACTTAGGAAACTTCATGCCAGTGTGGAAGCCTTGGTCTGTCATAGAAAAGGTTTGTTTACTTTGTTGCTTGTATGTTTACCATCATAAAACTAATGAAAATATTTTATTTAAATTTTACTAAAAATGCATATTCTGAAGTTATTAAGGAAGAGAGAAATAATAGTTTAAGAGTGCCTTCTGTTTTAATTTCATTACTAAAAATTTTGTTTTATTTTTATCTAACTTCTGGTTTAGGTATAGAAGCTTATATAAAAGTGTATTTGAATTTTGGATGAAAACTATTATTCATTTTATTAATTCCTTGTTGATGTATTTACAGTTTAACAGATGAAGTTGTCTCATTGGTAACTTTAATTATATTTAAAACATGAGAGATTCCAAAATTGGTATTTGAAAATTCTCATGAAAGTATTTATTTTCTGCCTCTATTTTCTGGAAAACATTTTGAAGTATTTTCTTCGTTTTCAAACTAAAGTATTTAAAAATATGAGGTTTTTGTTTTTGTTTTTGTTTCTTTGGCTGGCATGGGGCATAAAACTTCCCATAAATTTTGAGTTGTAAGTTTTTAATCCACAATGAAGTAGGTTTTTTTGGTGGTATGGGGATATGTTAATTTTAAAGACATCGAGGCTTTATCAGTTTTCCAAAATATTTAATAAGTAATTTAGTATGTGACATTACTAGTAATACATTTTGTTAAGATAATTAACAGAAACCTACTAATACATTTATTATTGAAAGTATTTTGTCACAACTTTGTCATTTGTATTACACATGTTTTAGGGAATGGGCTTATGAAGGTTCTTTTAGATTCTGTACAATGTAGAGTAACAACAATTTTCAGGCAATGTAATTGCTAGTTGTTGGTAGCATCCATCCTGTAAATTTTTTTAATTGAAATATCCAAAAAATGGTCATGCGAAAAATCTTTTTTAGAAATTCTATTTTACGGAAAATTATTGCACAAGAAAGAAAAAAAGACTAAGGTGGACATGAATTGTATCTACAATTCTACCTTATTTTTCTTTGGTTAGCTAAATAATATTCTCATTAAAAATTGCAGACATTATTTTCAGTGACAAATGTTTAAAGGCCAAAGAATGTAGTATAAATCAATCATAACCTTAATGCTTCACTTATTAAAAATGCATTTCTTATGTTTTTTAGGAATGGACAAAGAATGAGTGTTTGGGGGAGAAAAGGAAGAAAGATTGTTATGTTTTATTTATTTAAATATAGTATATAACCTGAAAACATAAGCAATAATTCTTCTTTTGTTTTCTTTGTTTCTTTTTCTTTTTTGCAGTACTGGGAATCAAATCCATGGCCTTGTACATATTAAGCAAGCACTCTAACACTTAGCTACATTCCCAGCGCCAGCAGTGATTATTAATTTTCAGTAGCTTTGTGAGCATTTTACACTATTGCTTAAGGCATTTTAGTAACTATTTCTGTTAATTAATTTAAAATATTATTCAGCCAGTTCATCAATACATAAAATTTGGAGAGAATGTAGAAAATCAATACAATATTTTATAATTTTACTGACAAATGCTTAAAGTAAGCCCTTTTTTTATTTCAGAACTTTCAGCCAACACAGCTGCCTTTGCTAAAAGTGCTGCCATGTTAGGTAATTCTGAGGATCATACTGCTTTATCTAGAGCTCTTTCTCAGCTTGCAGAGGTTGAGGAGAAGATAGACCAGTTACATCAAGAACAAGCTTTTGCTGACTTTTACATGTTTTCGGAACTACTTAGCGACTACATTCGTCTTATTGCTGCAGTGAAAGTAAGCCCTGTTTTGCAATCTTTCTTGCATTTGCTTCAGTATAGTTTGCTTTAAAAAGAACGTGGTTTCCAATTAGGCATGTATGTAAGTATGTAAATTCTAAATAATACTATATAGAAAAATACTTTAAACTGTTTTGTAACTCAGTTTATTTATTTTATTTATTCTAATTTGTTATACATGACAAAATACATTTCAATTCATAGTATACATATAGAGGACAATTTTTCATGTCTCTGCTTGTACACAAAATAAAGTCACACCATTCATGTCTTCATATATGTACTTTGGGTAATGATGTCCATCTCATTCCACTGTGTTTCTTACCCCCATGCCCACTCCCTTACCCTCCCTCCCCTTTGCCCTATCTAAAGTTCCTCCATTCCTCCAATGCCCCGGTGCCCCCCCCCCCATTATGGATCAGTATCCTCATATCAGAGAAAACATTTGGCATCTGGTTTTTTGGGATTGGCTTACTTCACTTAGCCTAATATTCTCCAAATCCATCCATTTACCTGCAAATGCCATGATTTTATTGTCTTTTATTGCTGAGTAATATTCCATTGTGTATATGTACCACAGTTTCTTTATCCATTCATCTACTAAAGGACATCTAGGTTGGTCCCACAATTTAGTATTGTGAATTGTGCTGCTCTAAACACTGATGTGGCTTCGTCACTGTAGTATGCTGTTTTTAAGTCCTTTGTGTAAAAACCGAGGAGTTGGATAGCTGGGTCAGATGGTGGTTCCATTACAAGTTTTCCAAGGAATCTCCATACTGGTTGCACCAACTTGCAGTCCCACCAGCAATGTATAAGTGTGTCTTTTTCCCCACATCCTCACCAATACTTATTTTTGTTTGTATTCTTGTAACTTAGTTTTTTTAACAGAGTTAATATTTTTAAGAGATCTAAGGAAAGTCAGATAAGAGAAAGAATTATATATATTTATTGTATATTCATATTTACAAGTTTGCAACTAACTATTAGCATTTGCTTGATCATTCTGCAGTAACTAAAACTACCTACTAGACTCTATTATCATTAGTAAATTAAAGTATATAATAAGTGAATATATTTCGTGGGGTTTTTAGCATGGTTCAAATTGCAGTCAGACTTTCTGTTTATTCAAATGTGTAGTCACCATGTATCTATAGATGAGATGGGTCTACATTAGATCATAGATTATGTTACCTAATGATAATGTTTAAATATGAATAATAAACTTTATGAATAGTTGGGAAAGTAATCCAGTTTAACAAAGTACTATTGTATACATATCTTCAGTATTTGGATACTTAAATTGAACATTATTCAGTCTTTCATTTTATTGCAAATAATGTTTCATAATAATGTTATGGTATCATGGGCTGGGGTGTGGGGCAGGGGGATCTAGGTATTTACCTTTTACCTTGAATGCAAACATTCTAAAAAAGTACAAAGACCTTGTTCTTTGTTATTTTGGGGGGGGGGGTAGGATGGTAACTGGAGATGGAACTCAAGGTACTCAACCACTGAGCCACATCCCCAGCCCTATTTTGTATTTTATTTAGAGACAGGGTCTCACTAAGTTGCTTAGTGCTTCACTTTTGCTGAGGATGGCTTTGAATTCTCAATCCTCCTGCCTCAGCCTCCTGAGCCATTGGGATTATAGGTGTGTGCCACCGCACCCAGCTTGTTCTTTGTTTTTTAATGCAAATTTTGTTCAGCTAAAGTCTGTGATTAAATAATAATTTATCTACAATAAGAATATTGATACATTGCCAACTCATTGAGGATTTTGTTTTCAA